GATTATNAAAAGTTGGTCTGTGTTCTGTCGGAGCTGCAGGCGACGCGCTGATGAGATCCAAAAAGATTGAAATCGCGATCCGCGTCTGGCAGTTTCGACAGAATACAGACCACTTCAAATTATTTTATTTATTTTATTAAATTAAATTGTTTAAACCATCAATGACTACAGGTGAACGAAGTTCCTTAAAAAGTAATGTGTAATATTTTGTAGTGAGATAGGTACCGAAAGGTCCTTCACAAGCAATATTACTTGAAGATTATCTTTTGCGGCAAAACGTGCACCCGCATCTGAAGCTTTCGTATTCGAAATTGTATCGTGAGTTCGGGAGTTGTAAGTTTGCCGCGCGCGCGTGAAGTGCTAAACGGCGTAATTTCTAATTAAATTTTGAAATTTAAACAAGCTCTTACGTACAGAATATTTGCCAGCTAAAATGAACACGTCGCGAGCATTGTTCTGATGATGAAGAAAGTGTAGCTTTCGTGTTGTGTAAATTATGTAGTTGTTTGTCGGGGAGGGAGCAAGTAGCGCGAAGGGAGTTGAAGTCTCAGCACGGAGGCGATATCCGGAGATGGAAGTAATGCCATGCCGTCTCGGGTGCTACAATGACATAAAAAACTTTTCTTATTCTTCCACTTAAGAGAACGACAGCTTTGTCAGATTAAAATAAGTTCAAACGGGCCAGTGCTTTAGGGACGGCAGTACTTTTTTTTATTTAAAATTTTGACGAATTTTACCGTAATTAGGGTGTTTCTGAAATAAGTGAAAAGCTTTGGAGGGTGCTAACTAGATGCAGTAAGGAAGAAATAAGAATAAGAATTGATGGGTAAAGGTCTAGATGATGGCCCCCACCACCTTCGTAGGGGTGGGGTGGGGGGGGGTCGAAAGAGGAGGTCTCCCCCACCACTGTACCATAAAAAGTTCGTGGCGGTCTCACCCCCATAAAAAGTTATGGGGCTTAGATGATGGCCCACAGGGGAAGGGGGGTCGAAAGAGGGTGCTCACCTGAGTAAAACCCCATAAAAAATTTGCGGCNATACTAGGGTCAATTGAAAAGTCCCCGGCCTGACACATAGATGGCGGCACCAGAACTAAATCCATATGATTTTCAGTTAGTCCTAACCTTCAAAAGACGCGTCTATAAATTTGACGGCTGTCGGATCATTAGTTTGTGAATTATAGTATATGAAAATTGTCAAAATAATCAACTTTCAATCCCCATAACTTTTTATGAGGGTGAGATCGCCGCAAATTTTTTATAGGGTTTTACTCAGGTGACCACCCTCTTTCGATCCCCCCTTCCCTCTTTCGATCACCCCTACCCCCAATTACCACTTTCATTACTGCTTATGACGAAAAGTGCAGTATGACTCCAGAAGATTCAAAAATATTCTATTCATTCGTAAGAAGTTTAACTACAGTCTTTTGAATTTAGTTTGTATAATCTTAGGATATGAATTCCAATTGGGGGTTACCCTTTAGATACTAAAATAACGCTCATTAGACTTACAATATAATTTTTGAAGAGTATTCCAGTTTTTATTTTCGGCAAGACGAAGGAAGTAGTATCATTATTGATATTACTTTTAAATAGGTATGTACGTAGTCAGGAAGCGAATATATTAGGAAATAAGTTACAGCCAGAACTTATTGTTTTAATATGCACCCATTCTGTGAAGGTTTGAAAGTAGGTAACAAGTTTTAATCATAACCAGAGAGTAACTAAACAGAGGAAAAGGATAATGGAGAAGTTATTAATTAACGTTTCAGGGTTTTCTCATCGTTGGGTTGCAAAACATAATTAGTCTTGAATCCCTTAAAACAAATAACTTGTTTCAAACTTAAAATAGTCTCATAATAATAATCGTAGAAGTAGGTATACCTATATTATCTTCATTTAATTGAAATTGTAAATTGCAGATTTTATAAATTATATATAAGGGGGTGGTAATGGAGCTTGGGTGCCTACAGACGTGGCGAACGCGCTCTGTTCATAGAACTAAATTGTATTGTTTTTTTTTCCTGTCTAATTTCATTTTTGATCAAGTAATCAGCTTGTGACCTTTGATGGGTTGACCCGGGTCATCAGTTGGAGCGAATACAAAAAAAGGCAGAATAAAAAGTTAACTAAAAAATAAACAGAATAAAAAGAAAATGAAGAAAACAGAATAAAGGAAATTAAGAGAAAAATGAAGACGAGAATGCTTGGAACAGAAGCTAGATAAATTTTAAATAAAGGAGACGGTACTAGAAGAGCTGGAGATAGAAATATAAGTGGGAAAACAAGCAAAGGAACAAAAGAAAATGATAAGGAGATTGGAAATGGAACTGAAAAAGAAAATAAAGGAAGAGGAAAACAAAACCTGATGTTTTTTGGAATAGAGTTGAAAGAGAATTAAAAGAAGAGGAAGTTGGTTGGAAAAATACATAAAAGAGAAAATAGGGCTGAAGGTGAAAGTAAGAGAAGTATGGAAAGTTAAACGCAAAAATGGAAAAGTGGGAAGAAAAGCTACAGGTAGTTAAAAACAGTAAAAGGCTGAGAGGCACGGAGGTTTATATAAAAGATGATATAACTGTGGAAGAGAGAAGAACAAAGAACATTGTTAATAGTACTGTTAAAGTTGGATACAAAAAGTTAATAATGGATGAGGTATGGGATAACCGGACATTTCGTAGAAAATGAGAAAAACCGGCATTATAGGAGGCAGAATTTTTATTCTATTTGGTTCGCCAAGACAATTTTCTTATGAATCTTTAAGAAAACGGAACGACATTTTCTAGGTGACACCAGTTCGATTCCGGGCTCGTCTGCCCTAGTTCAAGTTTTTCTGTGATTTCTTGGGATCGTTTAAGCAAATGCTGGAATAGTAACATTCTTCTTTCTTCATATTATCCGTCTCATTTTCATCACTCCAACCACGAACCACTCAGTTCCATGATTCCTAAATAGATACTGAAGAGGGCCTTCCATCAACCTTTCCGAATAGTCCATCTGCATTAATAGCTGGTGGAAATGAAACACTAAATGATGAAAAATGATTGGACCATTTGATTGTGAATTCTGGAGGTGTCTGGAATACGAATTTATTTGTGAGCGCTGCTGTTTCGGCAGTGTCTAATTTAATTTTTTATTATTCTCATTAATTTGCACCATCTGGACTAGTTTACGACGATTCGCCACCCTTGTCTTTCACTTGGGGTGGAACGATACCTCCTGATAAAACCATCACCGTAAACCACCCTCGCTGACTCCTAATCAATTAAGATTCTCAATATTCTTCTTCTGCTGCCTGATAATAATACAGGGAAGAGGAACGGTACAAAATTATTAGTTGGCTGAAGGAAGGTGTCAGGGCTGACGAAATAATACGGGGTTGGCGCAAGCGCGCGTCTAAAAGCGCACCGATCGTCAGCTGCTTTCAGTTTTACCGCGCTCTTCGGAAGTGTTGGCTGTTCAGCCTGCGATTGCTTGTTGCGCGTGCAATTCTCGCGATATCATAAAAGCTGCGGCTAGTTTCGTAAATACAATAAACAAATTTTATGAGAAATTAAAGTACTTTAGATAACGTAGGTATATATTTTTCAATATTTGCTGATTACAAGGTAAAAATCTTTTCGTGTCTTGAAGTTTTAGGTCGCTTTTCATTGTTGAATGAAGTGAAAAAAAAGGACAAGTTTTGCATGATTGGACGTATTATTTATTATTGAATAAACTTCGTATTGCAATATAAGTAATTTTTACAATTCTTGTACAATAAATATACATTACCTATTAATGGTCTTCAAAGTTTTGGTTATAAACCTTAAGAAGAAGCTTTAGCCATAAAAATAGTCAAAAGATGGTTTCTTTAGCAATAATTAAAAAAAAAAGAGCTTACTAATTTTTTATTAAAAATAGCATATACCTAGTTGTAAACAAATTAAATTTTAAATATTAAGGATTACTAAACATTGACAATTTTATTAAACAATTTTGTTGTTGGTAAACTAAGAAAATGAAACCTTAACTAAAGTCACAAGAAGTCTACTACTTTATTGTTAAAAATTACCAACATGACTGTAGATATTCTTAAATTGGAAAAAGTTTATTAATTTGAGCGTGTCATTGTCAGGACTAAAACGTGTTTTATATATTCAAGTTTTTCTTTTTCTTAATATATAGTAGATAACATATAGTACGTGTTGAAAGTATGTTATTGTGTAATACTGTAAAATAATGGTACATCTGTAAAACGTAATTGTTTGGAAAAAAATTCACCTCGAAAATATGAACAGTAACGTACGTATTTTCCATTTCAACCATTGAATGCATTTGTTTCCTATATTGGCGACTGTAAACAACAAAAGGTTACAATGTGTACTAGATAAAGGAAAATGACTTTTGTAATGCAATATACGATACATGGGTAATTAAAGAGTAAATAAAAAACACTGTGAACGGTGGTTGTTGCTCTTTATATCTGTCAGTACGGAATCAGAGTTAAATTATGTTGTTGTTTAGCTACAAGGGTTCTTCCCCTCTTGCAAAGGGTAGAAAATTTTATTACGGTGTGATTTAAATGTCTTTCAAACATCAAAGCATTTAGGTTTCTTAATGCCTGTGCCTATTGTAAACGTGTAATCTTATAAATGGGCGAATTATTTTAAGTGGTATTTTGTGAGAATAAGAAAATTAATTAGAAGAGTAATTTGGTACATTTCAAGTTGAAATATGACAAGTTTATGCTGCTTAAGTGTTAATGTAATCTAATTTTTATGTATCGGGTCGATGCAGGGTTGGATTCTTTCTATTTCTACAAAAATTTTTTTTGTTTAAAAAAGAATTTCTTTAATTGCAATATTTATTAATTGTTGTTTTCCTGATTGCTAATAAAACTTTTTTTTAACCCTCATACATTTTGTGATTTGCAGTTAATTTTGTTGGAGCAGTAATTGTTTATTTTGTTAGGTTACGTTAATTAGTTAGTATTAAAAGTAACTGTGATTGTTTTTTGTTGCAGTGAATCGTAGAAATACAGAAAATTACTGGCGTTGCAAGCAGTAATTTCGACTAGTTGAAGTGAAAATTAGCGAAGACATTATCGTGTTGGTTTTCGCGAACGGTATAGATAAACTTAAAGTTTCGTCGATTTCGAACTTTTTAAATGTGTCGTGAATAAAACAATTATTGACTGAACAGTCGACTCGACTCGATACGTTTGTCGTATTCGTTAAGGTGTATTGTTTTGTTTCGTTTCGTCTACGACCCGCGGACCTTGAGACCTAACGAAGACCATGTTGCGCCGCACCTTTGCCCTGACCTGGCTGCTGCTTTTCGGCGGATTTATCAAAGGTAAGAAAGTTGCTTGAAACTCTGCCAATGTGTAAAGTCTTCGCCAACTTTATCCTTTCCCGTTTCCATGCCGAACTTTAATTTATTGACATTTGAATGCGATCCGTGTAACCGTCTGACTTACGACGTCAATTATTTAAAGTTCGACCGGATTCTGGAATAAAAAGTTATCGGGATGTTGGCATTGGTAATAAGATAAAAGAGATATAAAAGTATCTTTAAGTTAAAGAAGAAAGTCTTCTGGTTTATAATTTTTTCCCGGAATAAACTGAAACAATAAGGGAGCGTTATTTAGGTATGACGTAGGCAGAATTTTGCTGATTTTAGATCCCCCTAAGAATAAATAGTAATATCGTGGACTTCCCCTTCAACAGACGATGAGTTTTATCCACTTAACTCCAAAATACACACCTTTACACTCGACGCACGTTTCGCCAACTAAGTTGGCATCATCAGAAAATGATTGAAATTGTTTCTAACGTTAAACCGACGTTACTTTGTTAGCGTCATCACCTCAAGTTTTTTTGTTAAGACGGAATATTGTTGAAAAGCTCGTTATGTCGAAAAGACAGTTCTGAAGTAAATTAGGTTAAATCTAGCTCAGCAAATAAATAAAATGAAGGTAGACGGCAGGAAAACGGGATCCCAATCGGAATTTTCTTAAGTTTTACACTTTTAAAATGAAACTGCCCCATAAAATAAAATGTCAATAAAATGAAGAGCGATTTATGATTATTGACTCTTACACAATGCAGTTTAGTGGAGCTATGCTAAAATTGATTGATTTTTATCTCTTCTTTTCTTGAAACATTTAGGTACGTACTGAGTGTCACAAATTTTTACTATCTAACAAATCACTAACGAAATGGTGAAAGCACATGTGGTGTTTATTTTGATTAAATACACAATGGAATAGGCATTTACTTGATGAAAATTAATTATGCATAAATAAAACTTCAAATTGTAAATTTACAATATTTCAGAACTCGCATTTTTTAATACAGCCTAGGTATTAATTTTTGGAATCGTTTAGTAGTTCCAGAAATTCCCTTACATTACATTTAAATAAATCATGGCCTAGTGAGCAATTGCAACTTCTTGATCCCAGTATTACTATTGCGTATTCATGGTTTGCAAACAATTCGGTCGGCTAGAACGTACTCGCCATGCTGATCAATGCAGCTAGTTTGAGCAAAGACAGATCATTGCTCCGTATATCCCTTTACATTATATTGGAGAAGGGAAAGTTATATTTCGAGGGTTTTAAAGCCACATGATACTGATAACTGAGCAAGTGTTATTGTTTGCTCACGACCTACAGCGGCGTAGTTACAATTGACCTAACCAAGATTACATGGTTTACAAATAATTCGGTCGGCCTGTGCGCACTCGCCAAGCTGGTCAGTACAGCTGATTTGAGCAAAGATAGATCAGTATTTCGTACATCCTTTAACATTACATTGTATGAGGGGAAAGCTGTATTTCAAGCGTTTTTATTGCCGCATGATACCTAATAAGTGAGCAACTGTTGTAGTTTGCTCAAGATCTGCGGCGGTATGATGACAATTTGTGTATGTACAGTCGTAAAATGAATTTGATCGCTGATTTAGAGAATAATGCGTTTCCACGGTTAACGTATGATGGAAAACTTTTAGTAAATGATCATAATGGGTTGATTCCTCTCAGCTGTGTTTAAAGATATTAACTTTGGAATTATGCACTCAGTACATAAACCATCTCGAACCGCTATTGAAAACAAACAAATTTTATCATTTTATAATGTTGGTACGATATAATAATAAATGTATTTTATCAATTTCGCGCTTGACTAATTATGTTTCATTGAAACGATGATTGAGTTTTCCTTCTATTTGACATTGTAACAAGCACCAAATTGTTTGAGAAACATTACAAGTATTTTGTTTGCTTGTAATTACAGTGCAATTACAAATGTCTTGTAATTCTATTAGACCAGGTCAGCACCAACGCGACGACGACGGTGGGCGCGGGCGGTTTGCTTATTAAGAACCCGCGCTTTCGTCGTCACTTTCCTTTTTTAGTCCTTTCGTTTCTTTATTCATGAAGTTAAATGGGGTGCTTAACTAGTTCTTAATTGGAAGGAAGTTTGCAGCCAACTGGATATGAAAAGCGGATGTTGCCATTATAAGCGAATCGCGATTGTGGATGGAAGGAGTAATAGGAGCGCAAGGTCGAGTCGCATTTAACAAAAATAATTTACTCCTGTGTTCGCGAATGGTTAATTTACAAATTCGAAAAATATTGTTAAAGGTATGTTTTGAGTAGAGCTTTGTACAGTTGCGAATGTTGACGATGAGCGCAGCGGAAAAGAAAAGGGTAGAAGCGTTCGAAATGTGGTGTTACAAGTGAATGATGAGGATACCGTGGATAGAGAAGATTAGAAATGAAGAGGTCTTAGAAAGAGTAGGAGAACAGAAGGATCTATGGAAGTCAATAAAAAATAGGCGAGATAGGTTAGTGGGAAACTTTCTTAGGTATGAAGGGATAATTAAGGAGATAACAGGAATTAAGGATGTGTCATGTTCTAGTACGGGGGTGGCCAAGTTCCTTGATTTTTCAAAATTTGAAAATTTTCGCGAGCAGCGACCATATCTGTAAAAGTAAAAAATATGTGTATTGGATTTTAATATTAAAAATTCAACACATTTATTTTACTTCTTTTGATAATTCTTTAAAATTGGGTGACACTTCTTAGTGATCCTTTCAGATGCTGCTTAGTTAATATTGATCGGTATGGATTTCACGAATTTTAAAGTGGAATAAAATGATTCACGTAAGTACGTTGTTCCGAATATTGAAATAATTCGACAAGCAGCCTTTTTTAATTCCGGATATTTCGATACTGGTACAAATTTTCAAAATTTAGTAATCGGCGTCGACTTATATTTTAATTGTAGAGCTTGATCTTCTTATGTCTCTATTAATTCTAATTCTCCAGATTCTTTTTGGGTCATAATTATATTGGAAATGGAAAACTCACATTGAATTATATTAATTTCAAAAATGAATTCAGAAAAAATTAAGATAATTCAAGTCTTGAAATCTATTTTGGAATTCCGTCAATATTCCTTCTAGCTTTTTTATATACTCGTTGAGTTTTTCGCACAAAAATGAAAAAGGAACTCGGAGTCACAAATAGTCCTTGAAAGAGCCGCATGTGGCTCGCGTGCCGCAGGTTGCCCCCCGTCCCTGTTCTAGCATTTGGGAAATACGAAGATTAGCTTAAGTTAGAAGAGAGCGAAAGTTCGTGTCCAACGGGTCATAAAGGATTGATGATCCTATGATGATGATAATGATGATGAGTATGAATATTGAATTTACGTGAAATCGATTAACCGAAAGGGGTTGACAGAGGTGTCAATGTGACAGAACAGCAGTGCGGTGTAGATAATGTTTTTAGGTAGAAATTCTCATCTTCATTTTCCGGTCTCGTTTTGCCATTCTTTTTCTCCCTGTCGTTCTCTCGCGTGGCAAATATTATAGGGAATTGGTTTTTGACGCCGGGAACACTGTTGTCGCAGGTAATGACATTCGAGTTTACCATAAGGAGAAAATGTGGTCACGACAGGATCATTTTCAGAGCATTGATTACGATTCCTTTGGCGATAAAGTTCCCGTTGTGTACGAAACTGGTCGTAAAAGTAACATAATGTAAAGGGCCTTAGTGAAAAAAATCTTTATATTAGGAGAAAATTTTAACTGGTAGCGTGATGTTAGGAATTTTAATTACATAGGTACCTAATCAGGTATTTTACCTCTTATTATTACACGATTAATTCAGTGATTTACTTATTGATTAAAACTTCATTTTTGACAATATAAATACAGTCAAAGAATCAATTACAAGGACATCGAAGGGAATACTCATGTGTGGTCATAAAAACCGATAGTCGTAACAGCCGGTGACGTTGTTATTTAGTACCTATTATTGAATGCGTGATTAATATATTCATGTATAAAATAAAACTACATTTTATTTATTTCACATAAAACATATAATAAAAAGACATTATGTACATATACAGTGGATTTCGGGTATAACGACAACGAAGGGACCGCTGTAATTTCGTCGTTACATCCAGCAGTCGTTACAGGCAAAGTTAAAGGAGATACAGACTACACACTGTTTTTTAATTTTGAAACAATTTTCGCTTTTTTTAACATTAAATGTGCATCTGGAAGTCACACTTATTATTTAAAAGTTTGCTAAACACAGTTGCTAATCAAAAACAACGGTAAATGTCACTACACTTGTTGACTGTTTGTGTGAATGTAAACAAAAGATAAGAAAGCTCTTTGTGTCTTTAGCGGCCGACTCCAGTAGTTTTATCTGTATAGGATTTGATACAAATGATTCATTAAAAAACAGTCGCTACACCCGAACTCGGCGTTATATCCGAAGTCGCTATAGCCACATGAAGTACAAGTATACTTTGAAATTCAAGAGACTTACATATGAGGTCGCTATAGCACAATGGTCGCAATAACCAAGATCGTAATAAACGAAATCCACTGTAATTATAATTTTTCTATATTAAAAAAATATATAATTA